CCGAGATCGCCGCCGTGCAGTGGGATGGTGCCGATCCTGGCTGGTTTCTACCAGCGGATCAACGAGGGTGGCTTGTGCTCGGTGTGCCGCTGAGAAGCGATGCCGACGTTCAGAAAATGTTTCGTGACAAGTGAAAGGTCCAGGATGGACGGCTCTCCAGGCTGCCCGCTGTCGGCGATCTATAAAATGCATGAAGAACTCCTGCTTCCTGTGCCACCGCATGCAAACTTCCTTTTGTGCATGCTCCCTCCGAGCGCGACACGGCCGTGCGTCCTTGCATAGCAGCCTATTCCCAAACTCGAAGCAATCACCGTCCAAGCCCCTGCAACGTGCTTTGCATCGCCTCCTACAGTTTTGAGACCTTGGCCACGAGGAGCAGGTCGATTGGTCAGTGCGATCCTCCGGTCCTCTGCCTGAGCAGCCACACTGGTTGTGACGGCACGCCGCGCTGTGCCCTCCGTTCGGGAGCAGGGATACGAAGGCCTCGATTGCAACTCTCTGAAACGCCCTTCGGCTGGATGAGCGGGACTTTGGAGACTTCATGCGGGATTGCTAACAGCGGGCGACTTTCGCCAACAACAAACACTCACTCGATTTGCATTTTCTTACGTCGATGCAGCATCTCGAGCGCGGCTGTGTCACGCTGTGTCGCAAGCCGGGCCGCACGCCGCCGCGCTCGGGGGCCGCACGTGCTTCTTGTACAGTGTTGGCTTTGCTACTCGGGCGGACCGTTGCGCATTCGACGTCCCGGTCTCTGACGATCGGCGCATCGCGGTCGTCGACGCCACCATATGCCACCATTCTAACCCCGTCACCTGCGCTGGCGACCCCCACCTGGCACGTGCATGCGATGCAGTCAATCGTGCCCTGGACGGGCCCACCGGCTGGATGCTGAGAGCCGTATAACAGGGAAGGCAACACATGAGCGCGGAAAAGGCTTGTGCGAAATTTGGTGCACAGACTGCGATCCCTACGCTCTCCTCTCAAGGCGGCCCTGGCCACTGCGAACCCCATGAACAGCCAACATCCCCCAATCTACGGCGGTGAGGGCTGCAACCCTAAGATCGTAACACGCATAGGATTGACAAGTACCGCAAAAAATTCGGATTACATCGCGCCGCTGGCTGCAGGCTGCCGTGACGTCCGAAAGGTAAACATTGGCATGACCTGCCAACAAACGCTGGGCTCCCGGATGCAGCTATAACATGTGCCGGGCGGATGTGCGCAGGTCATCCCAGGATGCTCCGGCACGGGACCATCATAGCTCTGGGGCTCGTCGACAGCAGCCGGAGCACCGTCTGGTGCACGAATTTCTTGCACACAGAACAAGTCTGTGGACCACGACAGCAGCAAAACCGGACAACCGATGGAAGGTTAAACACCACTCCGACCAAAGCTGAATTGCATTTAGGAGTGCCAGCCTTAAGCGGGTCGGCTCCCCCTGCGTCGACTGTGACGACGGGGCCGCTAGCATTTTCTGACCAGCCGCAGCACGAAGGCACATTCCGGAAGCGGGAGCTCGCATTGCAGACCAGACGAAGCAGAGGCAACAGTGCAAGAGAGAAGAAATCGCTATTGTCGCCGGCGCGCCATGGAGGTAGGCCGATTCGCGTGTGTGGGATGCAACAACAATATAACCAGCGCATCACGTACAGAAGCGAACATAATCTTGATCATATGCGGCAACGGCATCGACGGCGAGTTGGGTTGCACACCGCCCAAAGTTATGCCGTGAACTTTTGGAACGGTTTGGAACCACACCGTGCAGTTGGTCGGAAACCGCCAGCGCAGAGGAAGGTTCTCACTTGCAGTGTGGTGTGCCAACCGCCGCAGCTGGCTGGGTAGGTGGTGTTTGGCCGGCCTGCAGCTGGAGGCTAACCGCACATGGGTGCGGAAAGGCGGCAACATCTTGTAGCCTGCGTTCTCATGCGCGCATGCAGCTCTGTCTCCAGGGCCGAAACTGGCCTGTCGTTTCAAGGTACTAGGTTGGTTCAATAACAGATGTGAGTCAAGAAATGTGCTTCCGGCCAGAGCTGTGCTCGCCCTTCCTCGAAAGCCCAGCCGCAGCAGAGAATGCAATGTATGCACTAGCGCCTGTGGCTCTAGCTCTCACCGATGCATTGCAGCAGGGAGACGACCCTGCAGCATGCAACCCGGGCACGTACAGCCAACTGTGCGCCTTGTGCGGCAATGGGTAGTTTGAACCATGCAGGATCTATGGGCAAGGCTGCTGCAACAGCCGGAACGACCTGCCGTGCCGCATGGAAGACGTTGCCCAAGGCACGGAAAGATCTGTTGCCTTTGGTGACCGGTGCCTGTGCAACCCACCCTTGGCTGTACTCGCGCGTGCCCAGTGCGAGCCGGCGGGGTCTCTTTGTGGGGCAAACTGCGAGGGTGCACGCAGCAACGAGTGTTGCGAGAAGGGACAAGGATGCATGGTGTTGCAACACACATGCAATCCCTCTCGTTCCATCTTTCATGAACCTTTCTGTCTGTTTTGTAGTTCTCTTCTTGGCTCGCAGGTTGCTTCCATTTCTCGTCATTTTTATCCTGCATTTTCCACGCGCGCCTTCTGACGACTGCGAGGGAAAGAGTCCGCGTCCCTATGCAAACACCCAATCGGACAGGAGGGACGCATGGAATCTTCCCGAACACACCTCTGGGGTTGGGTTCTCATTTGATTAGTGTTCCAACGCGAGGCGCGCGTGAAATGACGGGAGCGGGTCAGATGGCGGGGCTTGACAACGGGGCGGAGGAACGGCCCTTAAGGGGAGGCAGGGGTTAGCCTGCGTTGGGTCGAGCAGCAGGCTGGATCGGGGCAAGTTGGGTTTTTGGGAGGAGGGGAGCCATAGCAGGGAGCTCGACTGGAGAAGGCGTGAGGGCGGGGAAGCGTGATGTCGGGTGCGAGGGCGGTGCACGCATGAGGCGCGGATAAAACGGGTGGACAAGGGGTGGAGCGCGAATCACTTTCTTCGGTTGACTTTTCGGGTTCCCGGTTTGACATTGCTTTCTAATTCTGATTTGGGCTCACCCCCTGCCCACCAGCATCTCACGCCTGTAGAAAGGTAGAAGGGGCGCTGCTGGTCAGGGAGGGACAGGCCATCCCCAAACGCGCTTGGGTTGCTCACGGGCTTCCGATCCCGACCGACTTCGATCGCCAGCACGATGAGGGTCTGAGCATCTGTGGCCATACAAGTTCAAAGAAGCGCTGGTGCTTGCGACTCCGCGACGACAAGCCTTTCGGCTGTGCTGGGCTGGGACGCCCATCCATGGGAGCGTGGATGCGAGGGTGACATGGCATCAGAACGCCGCGCCCCAATGCTATGCCCCATAGACAAGGTCAAAGCAAGGAGAGCAACACGTCCATTGGCCCCAACAGCTTCGCGCACAATCTTCACCCACACACGCTAAAGCAGCGGAGCGTGCCGAGCCAGCAGCCCGCCGCGAGCACAAGTGCCGCGATGTCCAAGGCGCTGCTCCGCAGCCTGGTTCGCCTAACCCACCGCAGCGCCGCAAACGAGGGCAGCAGGGAGCTGCAGGAGTCGCCGCGCATCTACCGTAGCAATGGAGGCGGCTCCGCAGGAGCAAGCAGCGTGAGCGGAGGGTGGGGCAGAATGCAATTCAGCCGTGCCGGCGTGGGCGGCACGGAGGTCGAGACACGGGGCTCGAATTGAGTCAGATATCCGCCGAGGCCAAAGGCCTCTGGCGTCTTGATGGTTAATACTAACCAACCCTCTACCTAATCCTTCTCCCTGCAGCTGAAATGCAAACTTCCACCCGCTTTTAGCGACTGTTTTCGACCCCCTTGCCCGGCTTCCACCCTTTTTTGCTGCCGAATTTGCCTCCCCTCCTCCTCCGGCCGCTCCTGCCCCCTGCCCCCCCCCCTCATCCCCCCCCTTGCCCCGCTGCTGCCCCCCCCCCCTCCCCCCTCCCTCTCTCTTCTCCCCCTCCGGCCCGTCCTCCCCTCTGCCCTCCTCGCTCGTTTTCCTTTTTTGGTTCCCCACCCTTCCGTCTTGTCCTGCCCTCGCGTGTTTTTTCGATTGCCTGCTCGTTTTCTTTCACCTTTTCTTCTCTTTCGGCCTGCCCCCGGCTCCACTGTCTTTTCTTCTTATGTTTCGTTTGCGTGCTTCTTTCTTTGAAGCTCTCGTTTTGCTGTTTTGTTGCCCTTCGACCCCCCCCCCCCAGCCCCCCGGCCCCTTTTCCCACCCTTCCGTCTTGTCTGCACTTCTTTTGGCTTGTTTTCCTTCCTTCCCCCCCTCCCCCTCTTGCTGGCCCCCCCTTCCTCCTGCGGCCGGCCAGTCCACCCTTCCGTGTTGTCCTGCCCTCGCGTGTTTTTTCGACCTTTTCTCCTCTTTCGGCCTGCCCCCCACCGAGCCGGCTCTATGCCTTTTCTTCTTATGTTTCGTTTGCGTGCTTTGGCTCTCCTGCTTCCTCCTTGAAGCTCCGTCGTTTTGCTGTTTTGTTGCCCCTCGCCCCTGCCCCCGCTCAGCCCCTCCTCCCTCCCCCGGCCCCCCTCCCGGGCCCCCCCCGGTCTTGTCCTGCCCCCCCCTCCCCCCTTCCTCCCCCCCCTTCCTCCTCCGGCCCCCCTTCCTCCTCCGGCTTCCCCTCGTTTTTTGTTTTATCCTGCTCGTTTTCTTTCCTCTTTTCTTCTCTTCCGGCCTGCCGCCCCCCGGGCCGGCTCCACTGCCTTTTCTTCTTATGTTTCGTTCGCGTGCTTTGGCTTTTTCGGCCTGCCCCCCCCCGGCCGGCTCCACTGCCTTTTCTTCTTATGTTTCGTTCGCGTGCTTTGCTCTACACTTGCCACACTTCTCCAACTAGCCCTGACCCTGCAACTAAATTACACCTGCCTTGAGAGGCCCTTCGCAGTTTGGCCTCTGCTCTGCGCCCCTGCTGGCCCTACTTCAGCCGGCGGCCGAGGCGGGCTGCGTAGCATTAGAATTACGTTGTCACGCGGCTTCTTCATCACGTGTCATATGTGTCGTCCAAGTCTTATGCTTCGCTCAGCCGACGTCGCAGAAGCTTACAATGTCCGCCGACTTCAAAACGGAGCACGTGAAGGGAGTGCTTCCGCAAGCAACACTTTTTTGACAACGATCAATTACGATCCAATTGCAAACCTTGGCGTGGTTTCCCGGCACCTGCCTATACGCTACCAAACATTTAAAACAAGCCTCCGAATCAATGATGCAGATCCTTGTGCTGCCACTCAGACTGGCTCCGCATGTCAGGCTTCGGTCAGAAAGCATGCGCTTTTCTCTGTCGCTTGACTGCATGGCTGTGCTTCGACTGCGCTGCTCATCTTTGTCGCTGCGGCGGTGAGTCACCAGTGCCTCGGCAGAGCCGGTGCCCACGGGGAGAACTCGAAATCTGCTCCTCGAGCCCAGGACTTCTGCGCAGCTCAGGCAAAGGTCCTCGGCAGCTGCTTTTTCCAGCTGGGACCCTAGGAGACTTGGCATATCTTGGCATGCTGGCATAGCAGCAACCGAACCGCGGACAATGTAAAATCATCTCGTCCTGACGGCACAGAATTGGCCGTTTTTTCGCTCTCGATCTTTTGGCGGCCTCCTCAATCTGATCTCGGCCACAGTGGCTGCACAGCAACCTCAACGAAACTCTTCGAGCTTGTGGTCATCGTGCGCAATTCGTTCCAGGCTGATTCCATGCCGATCGCACCCAAGACCCGCACATGAGATCGTCGGTGCTGCTCCGCAATCTGTAAGCTGCCGGAACCCCTCGAACTGGCTGCAGCAATCCATGCCTCACATTGCGGAAACATACGCCTGATCCACATGCCTACTGGCTGGGCCTGCGAGGGCATCGGAAGTCAAAGCGTACCATGGCCCGCCGAGGCTCCTTCCGGTACTTACGGTCCGAAAGGAGGAAACGTCAGAGCGAAGTGGCGCTACAGGCGACTGAGAACCAGGACACAGGCCGAACGAGGCAGCGACATGGAGCGATCCGCTACAAGCAAAATCAAAATTAAGCCTTATCCAACGTCTCACAAAACTTGTGCCAGGGGGAACCAAAACTCAAGCAGCTGAAGCAAAGTGCGTCTAGTAGAACCCACCCCAACGGGTAAGCATCATGAGTATCAGCTGTCACCTGGCGGGTTCGGGAACCGAACATGATAAGCATCATCTGGGAGTCTCTCCACCGATCCCGCCACGTTCGCTTGAAGTTCGACCGCCGACACCTCCGATACAAGGGTTCAGCGAACTCACTTGATCGGATTGGCGGGGTCCCACGTCCCACACCCCCATCTCCCCTGAAGAGTAAAATGGGGTCTCGAACTTCAAGTCCTTCGAAGGCACTTAGTGACTTCTGTGAACATGTACTACCAGTGCTGTCAGTCTTTCCGCGCATGATTGGGCGTGCCTCACCCACGGCCCTACCTGCTCGTGTGAAGCAAATGGCACCTTGGCTGACGATCATGCCAACCCTGCCAAAGAACCGTCTCACAGGGGCGGTGGCGCACTCGCCAAGGGCATAAGTTGCGACGATAAGCTACCTGTCAAATCAGCAGGAATCAGGGGGCGCCTCCGGGCCAAGCAGCGTCCTCACCAAAGGCATCCAGAATAGCGACCCGCGCTGCCGGAGGGAGGGGAGGTGCAACAGCGGCCTGCAGCGCGACAACAAGCCAAACAAACGGAAGCAAAGCTGATGTAACCTTTCGCCTCAACGGCCCGCTGCAGGACTGGGAGCTGTGCGGACTTAGATCCGTCAAGGTCAAGAGTACATCTTGTATACAGATGCTTCACGGTAGATGCTGCGAAACACATGAAAAGCCTTGCGCTCGGTAAGTTTGGCACCCAAATGACGTCTCGCCAAGTCGTGATTGCAGCGACTCTTTCGGACGAGAGCACACACTTAACCTCTGCAGACACATGCATCTTCTGTGACATCGTGACAACCTTGGTGCAAACGAACAAATCTGAGGCAGGGTCGGCTGCCTTTCCAGCACGGCCTGGAGGATTGTGCACTAGGACAACGAAAAGGCACATCAATGCTGCACGAACCGGCTGAAGGCCTGTGGTTGACAACCTCGCAACAGCATCTATTTTGCCGAACTCAATCAGCTGGATGATGACCTGGTGTTCGGGTGAAATCTTCCTGTCTCAGCACCGCCAAGTTCTGCTGGCCTCCAGGGTTAGCTTTTGAGCGGCAGCAGGCCATTCCAAGCCCATGGTGGCAGATCGGTAGCTCTCATCTTGACACTTCCAGCGTGCAGGACGAAACCGACTCTGCTGAAGCATAGTTGAACAGTTGGAGCTGGTTGGGGAGCTTGGTTTGTTGTGCGAATCCGTCTTGGGAAGCACGGCCCCGGTTGGATCACACTCATGTAGCAGCTCGAGCCTGATGGCACCTTACAAGAAGGCAAAGGCGCGTACGATTGTCTGTGCAAATGTGTCGTGATTCGTACCATGCACATCCACAGTTCCCAGAAGCAGTCTTTGCGACCCTCTGCGGGTTGTTCTGTCCATGCCGTGCCTTTGCGGCTGAAAACCGTCGTTAACTACTGCACCTGCAGCTACGAAACGAGGAACTAGCCTCCGCTCAACGGTATGGATGCAAGACAGCGGTAGAAACCTCGAGCAAGGCCATTTCAACATGAGACATCATGAGACCGCATGATCTCAGAACGCCGTCGGTATGGATGCTTTCGTGCAGCCGTTGTCTCCCATCTCGTCCAAGCAGGAAAGCTGGACTTCTTTCAGCTGCACCGCACCGAAATCGACCTGCAAGATTCTTGCAGTCGTCTGATTTTGCTGACGCCGTGCGATACTGTGGAGAAGCTGGAGAAGCTCTTTTTGTCGTCCGGAAAGCTATGCGGTGAAACTTGCAAGCTGTGTCTCATCCCGCTTTGGGCTCTGCTTGCTCTTGGTCACGGTGCCAACGAAGGACCTGCCATGTGCAAGACTGGGCCCGGGGCCCCGAGCCTTTCGGCCCTCGCGCCTCCGTGTAGGCCAGTTGGCCGCCGAAGATATCCAAGGCACTGCCTGAAGGCGCGGGTCTCCGAGCGTGGGCCGCCCCTACCGGGATCCACCCGTGCAGGCCTATGGTCGCGTCCACCCGGCCATGGCCCAGTGTTCGAATTCTTTCCATGTCCTGGAGGCCAGGGGCAAAACATAAGCGGCAGAAGGCAAGGCCGTCTACAGGTCGCCATATGCCGTATGGCGCTATGATCAAACGAGCGTCTTCCAAGGATCGAACTCCACCTGCGTACCTGGCCGCGTGGCGAAAACAGAATCCCATTCGCTCACCTGGATAAATAACGGTCGGGGCACGTCACCGGAACGGGTGACGCCGCCAGCAGCTGGACAAGGGGCTCCTCTTGGACATGTTGGAAGTTGTTTTCTACCCTAGCACGCTGCAACTCCTCGATTCCACTCTGCAGCCCTTCCACGTCAACTCCATGAACGAGGAACTCACTGCAGTGCTCAGCCAACTCCCTGAGGGTCTCCTTGGGGTCACTCTGCGACCCAACATGATACCCTCATGCCATGCATGCGCCCTGCTGCCTCTGAGACCTCCAGGTCAGTCCACTTTTGCCAGCGGTCTGTCACCACCTCACAGATAAGCCTAGATCCTGCTAGAAACATCGCCAGGAGTACTGCTCCAAAGCAGGTTCAGCCCACTTTTTCGCGTGCCGAGCTGTAAACGAGAAGTGTCAGGCGGGGAGCCCGACTCAAGACACAATCAACTCACGCTCCGGATCTCCGTAGTGATGTCTTTCTTCGTTGTAGAGCTTGGTCAGGGCAGCAACATACTTCGCATGTGCTTGCTGCACTTCTTCGTCGCTTGGAAATCCCGCGACTTTACACTCGAATTCAATCGGTGCCCCCATGACCACGTGCACGGGGTGTCGGAGTGGCAGCAGACCCAAAGCGCCGTAGTACAAGGGAATACAAATGCCAAAGCTTTTGCGAAGCCATTCTCGAGGTGCTTTTAGAAAGCCGGTAAAGGTCTTGTAAAGGTCTACACACCCGAAGACATAGCATGGTGCCACGGCTGCTCGCTCTTGCAAAGCGATCTTGATGAACCCCATCCTCTTAGACAAGTACACTTCTTCTTTGCCCTGAACGGTACGAATCTGTTCATGCTCGCCGCCGGGAATGACCATCAGGCTGTGGCCCTTCCGCAGGGCACGGCAAGCAACACTCTTCCGTGCATCTATACACCTTGTCCACAAGGAAAGTTCTCGGACCAACGGCAGATGGAAGAGCACCGAAGCACTCAAAGTGAGAACGTTCCGATGCGGCAGTGCCTCGTAAAGCATGCCGTCGAGCATGATACGATAGTCGCTTGCGACACCGTGCGGGTGAATCGCAAGCACAACAGGCTTGTCGACTGGACGCTCGTACAGCGATGTATGAACATGAATCCGCAGCTGGAGGTATCGCCTGAAAGCATGGTAGCCCCACTCCTGCTGGGAGAACCATGGCCAGGCAGCTCCGTCACCGAGTTCGGCACGGGAGAGAAAGCGAGCCCACACAACATAGCCGAAAGTTGGCAAGCACAGCAATGGACGATACCAGCAGCCAATTGCGAGTAGAAGAGGGGAAGCAAAGCAGCTGATCATTACAAAGTTCCAGTAGAAGCCAAGTGCAAAAGTATATTTGGATCCCTCTGCGGGGTCTCCCCTCCCCGGTTGCCATAGAACGCGTGGCAGCAAAGCGGCGCACAAGCAAGCCACTGAAGCCCATCGCCAGGATGGTATGCACAAGCAGCAAACACCTGTGAGGGGCTTTAGGGATTTGTTCGGCTAGACTGGCGGCTGTAAAGGTCTCGTCCAACTGTTTCGGATTCGCAGCCTATCAAAGTGCTGAGTATTCTCCTTCAGAATCAACGATCAACCCTACCATGTGGAAGTGGTACCTGGCAGGAAACTGACGAATACCAGCGCCGTAAGGTGCAGGGCGGGTGTGCAGTCTGGACAGCAGCGTGAGTCGAACGTCACACATTTCGCCATGGCTGCGACCGCAGAACTCAGTGTGGTTGTTGATCTGATGGTCAGGAGTCAGGGTGGAACATAACCAGTATCAGACCAAAGCTTAAGAACAATGATGAGTGGCTCTGGCTGGAAGGTCTGCAAAGCTGACTCAAGGCAGGAATCGACGGCAGCGTCGAGCGTCATAGTAAACATGTGGAGTTCCTTCCAGAGCAGCCTTGTACACAGGCTTCTTCTCTTTGTCCTGGCGCAGTATGCGGAGGGAAGTGGCAGCTGTGTATTGCGAATGTGAGCAGATGTTGGCAAGCGCTTGAAATTGATGCACTGTTCCTGATATCCTTGTATGCTGTGTTGCCAACTGGCACTTAAACCTCAAACCTAAGCCTGCGCTGAACAACGCATGGCAAAGCTCTTTCCTCGATGCAAGGAACAAACAAAGCTCTGAGAGGCTCGCCTACCCTCGGGTGTCTTGGGTGTCTTGCTCTATTTGGTCTGTTCTTTCTTTCGTTCTGTCATAACTTACTTCGTTCATTCTTTTCCTTCTCTGCGTCCTCGTATACTTCGCTATCTGCGGTCGTTCTTTCTTTCTTTCTGTCTTTCTTTTTGTACTTATTTCTTTGTGTTTTCACTCGTTCCATGCTTGTCTTTATTTATCTCGTTCTGTTCGTTTTTCCTTTCTTCCGCTCTCTCTTTCTCCTCCTTTCTTTCACTCCTTCGTTCGTTCTTTCTGCCTTGCTTGCATGCGGACAAGGAGAGCGCAGCTGCACCCCCCGCCCGCCGAAGTTCTTGTCTTCTGCGGCTCACGACTTGATGAGGCACGGATGGCACCCGCAAACCCCCTTTAGCCCTTTACACTACTCGATCCCCACGCGCCTCATCAATCGTGCCCCGTATTGGGGTTGAGCTGTTCGGTGCTAACCACTTGAGCACTGCGCCGAGTTATTGCGCAACAATGCCCCGGACTGTTCTTTCTGCCTCTCTCTCTCTCCTCCTTTATTTGGTTCTTTGTCTCTGTTTTTTCTGGTTCTATATTTCTTTCTGTCGTTGTTTCTTTCTTTCCACTCTCCTCCCGCAAACTCGTGGATGCTCATGCTTGTCAACAACGACTCGGTAAAGAAGCTTTCGTCAAAACGGGGGGGAGGGCCCTTATATCCCTGGTGTATCCGGAGCTAGGGCCGGGCCCCGGAAGTCTCGTTGTCAAACAGATCTGTAAACGACTGCAGAAGGAGCTAACTTTCGTGACATTCCCAGAAAATTTTCGATTCGGAGTCGCTCCTCGTCTGGCACCCGTCTGCAGCTCAGGTCGAGGACCAGGCGCGCCCGACCTTGGGACGTTCTCCGGGACGCGAACATCTCATCAGCGCAAATGCTGGCACTTTGGGGCTCACCAACTTTGTCGACCAATGCTGCAAGCCTCTCTTTGTCCACCTTTGTGTTTCTTTGCAATGGCAAGTTGGGGCACTGCCACAAGGGTTAAGTGATTAGGGAATGCTGGCATGCTTGTCTAGTGCATTGTTTCTAAGATGCCTTCCCATCATGGAACACGTACGAGGTCACGATGACATGGCTAGCTCCTTGCATCTCGCGAGGAAACATGTGCGCATCTCGGCCCGGTTGTTGCCTGCATCAATGAACTCCATTGCGTTCTCTGCGTTGATTCCTCCACCAACCTAGGACCGAAAAGCAGGCGGCTGGTTTTCAAGGCTCTTCACTTTGAGCTCTGAGCCTGTAAACCGCCGGGGTATACTTTCAGTGCGGCGAGCGCCTGTGAAAGTCGGAGTGATGGAGCACGCGGCAGGCTGCCCGTAGCCGCTCTTGAGACTCTGACTGCCGCTTTGTTTGCCTCCGAAGCACCCAGCATGATTGCATGCCCACCTCCTGCATCGCATGAGTTCTGGCAGGTTTGCTTCAAGCCCCTGTCGTCTCCGATCTGACCTTGCCAAAACCCCAGCTAAGCAACAGGCCCAAGCCGTCATCTCGGTATCGTTCTGCAAACCAGCTTGACGGCCTCTTGCGTGTGATCTGCTTGAGCGGATTTGAGCGGTACCGGCGGCACTGGTCGCTGAAGCTGAGGAGGGTGCTGAGAAGCCTCAAAATTTGTAACGAGGGACTTGGAGTCATCTTTCAATGTGCCACCCACGATTTGCTTCACCTGCCATTGCAGGCACTTCGGCATTGTTCTGGTCAGCCTTGGAAGATTCTGCCAGGCATGTCGCTCACCTGCCCATTGTGGATGTCGATGCACGGCCTGGATCATGACTAGCTTGTGACAAGGAACGACCACTCAGCTCGGCTCTCCTTGCCTGAACTTCATATGCCCAGAGGACGAGGCCGGCGGAAAAAGGAATTTCTAGAACATATGCGTCTTGGTCGTCGGCATGTTCTTGATGCTTCTGCAAATCTGGCTGGCCATTGGTGGCTCGTACATCGAGCCAGATGTCAGCGGGGCTAGAGCCATGAAGTTCATGCCCCCTGCCAGACTTTGCCGACAGCACACTGGGAAACCCGTTCTCCTGGCCTGTCCGAAGCGCTCCATGAGCACACTGGCATCGAAGTTCTCTCGCGGAGCCGAGCGATCGTCGAATCTCGATCGTGCGTACCTTATCGCAGTCTTGGAGACGCATCGAACGCTTCATTTGGCCTGCTTGACTGTGGGCAGAACAAGGCCTGTGTCGCATCCAGCGTTACACGTGCTAGATGGCATGCGGCAGGCTCGTTGTTCTCTCTTCTCAGCTCCATGGCTCCATGCTCGCGCTTCGCTGGGCACGCGCGCTACACACAGGTTTCATTGGTTCAATTAAAAGGCACGTGAACAGCTGAGCACTGTTGACATCATTCTGGGACACGTGCTTCGTATTCATGAGGGTAGCGTGGAGCTTGACCTGCGAACTTTCTCCCCTGTCAGCGGCTGTGAAACAGTTTCTCCCGACCTCAGCGTGCTGGCCGTCGGAGGACAGAAGCCTCTGTGACATCAAGTTTTGGGCGGAGACCAAATTCCGCGCCTGGGCCGTGATGCAGGGAAGCGACGGAGGCTGAAAAGAAGCAATGCCCTAGATTTGAGAAACCCGGACCCGCACAGCCCTGAGAACGAATCCCTCTGTGTTGGAAAGTGCCTGGAAGAGCTCAAACATCGAGTCGGCCATGGAGTTCATGCCTTGTGTGAACATCTCAGCCTTCTATCCCACCAAATTCTGTTGATGGACGTTGCGCAATGTCGTTGCAGTAGAGTTGCGATTTTGTAATTCCCGGGATCGATCCGTTGTGAACACAACTCCGACCTGACGACTCAGAGCAATGCCATGTACTGCGACGTCTGTGCAACTTGCCGAGGCAACGGCGCTGGTAGGGTCGTCTGTGAAAATGTGCAGGCCCTGGCTGAGTGTGATCGTGCGCAGACACGCATACATGCACTGGTGGACCCTACCATTAGTATCAACAGTGCTGTGCTGACTAAGTCAGAGATAGGGCGGGCTGTGATTGACTATGCAGCTTGTTTCGTAACATGCCGGGAAACGTGCAACCACTTGAAGGCAAAGATTTGGTGGCAAAAGCAGGTCTGCACTTGTCTGAACAGCTGATCACCGTGAATATATAGAATGTTGCTCCACAGCATTTCAAGCAAACCAAGTGAAACGTATCAAGGCTCATCGGAATAAATGGTCTCCGACTCGCACGAAGAATCAGTTGACAAGCTGCGACACTAGCTGATTGATGCCTGATGATGCCTGAGGCAAAACAAACGAAATCAAGCTGGCTATGACATGCAAAGATGGCCTCGGTTCGCAACTCAAGTAAGACCATCAACGGAACAGTTGTCTGTTGTTTCTTTGGTTGTTGCTTCTGCTGCACAACTTTGGCAAGCTTGTGGTTACATTACAGCTTTTCAACTTAAACACTGTTGCGCATGTCGTCGCCGTCGTCGTCTATGCCCAGGCTTCTGACCCGTGACCAGAGCAAAGGAATGCTGCTCCCGGATGTGCGTCCTGTCCCTGATGAGCCGTTGTGCCCGTGAGGATACCTGCCCCTTCTGTTGGCTACGTGCCAAGCCGAAGACACGGCAAGGTGTTCACGTGCCTACAAATAGTGATCGTGATCAGGTCCAGTCCTTTGAACGGGGATATGTTTTCTGTTGCTTTGCAGGTGCAGACTTTGGCATCCCAGCACAGCTTGGTTGGAAGAAGTAAGTGTGAGGAGCCCATCCCCTTCAGCTGTTTCACGTCGAACTTGCCCAAAGGCTGAGCTTAGAAGCGGCATACGCGCGCACCCACACAGAGCAGCAGCAACGCCTTCATGTGCGCCATCAGTGGTCGTGCATAGTCGGACGTTGCCGAGAGACCTGGCACAAGCGCAACGCTTGCACTTGAGCTTCAAGCAATGCTCCATCTCCAACAGGCAGGGTTGGCGAGCGGACAGGTCCTTCAATGCCTGATGGAGATAATGTCATGCAGGCCAGGTTGGAGCCGTCAGCGTCAGCGACCTCCTTCATCTCATCGACTTGAGCATGAGAGTGCAGCTTCAGCATGCAGAGTGTGAAGTGCATTCGCCTTGCAGACTCAGGCAAAACAGTGCAGCATCCGACTTCTGACATGGCTCTGAGGAAGCTGCTGGGAGGGCATGAAGATAGAAGCATCTATGCCCTGGAAACGCTGCAGCACAACATCCTGCAGATTCAGGGAAGAGGCGAGCCGGGCAGGCTGGATCCACATGGGTCCGCCCTTCATCCGTCTTTGGGAGATGTTCCGTTGAATCGTTACCGTTAGTTTCAAACTTTCCCTACGATTGCCTCCCCGACTTGCCAACAGCAAAGGCCGACGAGGATGGACTGGTGCAGATCTTTTTGTGAGCAATCAGGGAATCCGACGGTCTTTGGTTTACACACAACCTCCATCTCTCTGGCAAGCTGTTGACGTTCGGTTGTAAGCAGGACCGGCAGTGGGACTTTATTGCGAGCTGCTTGTGGATTACTCATCAGTTTTCTTTTAATTTTCTCTCTCTTCCAGCCAAGACGTTCTTTCAAGCAGTGTTTTCTCGTGCCGTCGCGAAAGACATGAACTAGATTCGTTTTCGATGAAACTCTAGGTGTTTTGGGCAACCCTTGTGATTGGTGACAGCGTTCTCTCTCAAAGCGCAGTCATGTAGGGTTTTGTGGTGCAGCTTGCCAGAAAGGCAAGCTACGAGCATGGTCTCTTGTTCTTGTCGCGCTCGAGGCATCGGCATGGCCATGCAACACAAGGCTGGGGTGCTACAAGTATTTGGCTCGCAGCGCTTGGGGCGATTCTAAGACCTGTCCTCCCGGAAACCGTCCACGAGCTGCCGAAACTTGTCGTCATAGGCCAGTGGCACCGAGATGAAGTGCGTGTACTGGCTGCGTGCTCTTAGTCTGAAGCTCTGAAGCCCTTGATGTAAAAGGAAGCATTTCTTGTGCCTCCAGCTTGGCCTCCTCCTTCTCACAGAGGAGCTCTATGAGCGCCTCACAGACGGGTAAAGGTTGTCAGCACCTAGGGCCTGTAGGTATCTGGTAGGAGGCCCTGCCTTGCAGCTGTAGATGCTGCTCTTCTGTCGCGCTTTCAGATACACGGCATCTTCCAGCTCCTCGTAACTTTTGAAGCTGGTGGACAAACCAAGAGCAGAAGTATCCACAAAACAGGCTATGCAAAGCCTCACGCTTTGGAACCACGATTTTGCATCCTGACCTGATGCAGTTCTAGCTCCCATGACTGCAACGGCATTCCTCGGCCCACTTCATCTAAGACAGCAGCTCCATCTCAAGCTTCTGTTTATTTCTGGCCTTCAGTCTCTAGAATCCAAAAATGACTCGCTGACTGCAAGACATCTTCAAGAGGTCGCTGCTCGTGAGCCAACGATGAATCTGTGAAATATGGCAGGCATCTCCATACGGAATACCCACTCATCACCCTGACATCAGTTTCAAGGGCTTGTGTGCCGCATGAAGATGTGTTGCACTGGATCAAGGCGGCTGCTTTCTGGCTTTATGACGCTGCCTCGTAAACCAGCTGATCATCAAGCTCTCCCTCCTGCAGGATGTGTGGATCTCGAAGATTGACCACTTCCACTGACTGATTTCCTGTACTCAATGGCCCTGTATCCAGGTGTGGGCTGTGGGACATGGCAAACTGCAGGCTTGGATCCGAAGACGCTGACCGGATGAAGTTCCTCTTCCACTTCATCCTCCTCGTAGTATCTGCGATTCCTGGGCAAAGCTGTGTGCAAGCGCGTGCACGTGGAATCTGGGGGGTAAACCTGTCAGGCAGACTCCTCGCATTTGAATTTCAGGTTCTCGTCAACGACAAGTTTCCTGCTAGCACTTGATGCCCAGCTTGGAAGGCAGGGCTTTGGGATGCAGCTGCCTGTAAAAGGAGTTCCCAATTCTGACAACTTCAAACTTGGGATCCTGGCTGAAGCAGGAGCAAGATGGAGCAAGCGATAGCAAGCGTGATGCTGAGCAAATGCGGTGCCTCGATGTTCTGTGCCAGCGCCATGGCGTGGATCTGCTTTGCTTAAGCTGAGACTGAAGCTTCGACGTTGTGTCGGTATGTGTCGACATGCTCTCCGTTCCACTGGCGCAGGATCATAGAACACATGTTCTAGGTGCTGTTGCACAAGATCAAGCTCCAAGCCAAGCTGTATGACTCTATGATACTCTATGACTACATGGCACGCTGCGCTGAGGATCTCAGAGTTTCACCACATGACGCGAAGGCGAAGGCACGACGAAGCTGTGATGCTCTATACAAATGCGCGAAACGTAGAGACATGGGCAGGTGTCGGCTCGGAGGCCTTTTCTTGCACGCTCAGGCTGAGACATCGCAGCGTCGGGCCATCTTTCGATGAGAAGCTCGTGCATGCTGTCGGCTACCACAGCTTAAGAAGCTCCTCAAGGACATCGGCGATTCGCCTCCGAGCCTTCTTTTCGCTCGGCTATAGCGTTTCATTGCAATCATCAGATGCAAAGAGAAGGCAACTTCCAGCACCTGGCCGCGATTTTTGCCTCGACATTCAGTGCCAGTGCCATGGCGTGGATCTGCTTTGCTTCCGCTGAGACTGAGGGTTCGAAGTTGTGTGGACATGCTTTCTATGCCACTGTGTGCCCTGTGATGTTCTGTGCAACTACGCGAACTACGAGACGTGGAGACTCAGAAAGCGCTCAGCTCATCGCAAAGTCGGACAATCCTTCGACTCGAAAGTCGTGCAAGCTGTCAGCGACGCATGCGAAGCCGCTGCTACTATGCTGCTCTTGCCCGTGAAATTCTTGCATGGCATGATTACGCGCTGACAGATTGCTGACGAATACTGAATTTCAAAGCCTGCAGTTTTTACAGGCCTTGGAGCCCTGCGCCAGGAGAAAAAGGCTGTCATGGAGAACTGGCCGCGACCGTACTGTTAAGGTACGTGCTTAAGTAGACATCGCTCAAGTCTGCATCCTTGACGCAGGTGGCTCCAAGTCTCAGGCACATTCAGGCACCTTTCACCTTACAGTGATTGAAGCGTTCGAGCATCCAGTCCATGCGGAAGCTGCTAGCAACACGAGGACAAGGTCACGTGCACTCCACGCGAACGAGGGTTTCGCACCCACTTCCAAACAGGAAACTAAGCGCGGAGCGCGCCACACCCATTTGTTGGGCCCCGCAGCTGCTCCGTGAAAGCTCCTGCACATCGCTGATGCAGCAGGAGGAGCAGACGCGAGCGACTTTCTCCGACTTTCCTTCTGATTTCCACTGCTCCCGAACAAATGCTCGGCCATGTAAAATCAAAACCATAGATTCGAGGGCCGGGCTGGCGAGTCTCCCGCCAGTTGTTCTGGCGGGAGCCAGCATCATACCCGTACCTTGGCGCATGGCACCGGCACCGGAGCAGTTCGGCGATTCAAGTGATTACATGACCATGCCGCGCAACTTCCGCCACTAAGAGACCTGCCACGGGGATCTTTGCCAGCCTACTGCCAGGCTCTCACAGCACTGACCACATGCCAACGTGCATCCGACATCCAAACGCCGCCTTTCTGGTGCTTTTTCTTCGACCTGAAGATGTGCGGGCGAAGGCTCTCCACATGTCATGCGCTAGGAACGGCCGAGGCCGCTTCCCGGCTGGCTTCCAGCTGTTCTGGATGCCGCCACTGGGCCCTGCAACAAGAATAATGAAACCAACCCTGTGATACTCCGCGACAACACAATCATCGTCAATCCCAAGGTGGATTGATTGTAAACAGGTCCGGCTATGCTGGAATTTTCACGGAAGCACTTCGACATGATGTGCGGACTGTGCGGACCATACAAGGCAAATCCTCAAGGTGTGCAGAAGCAACGGACAGAATCGCACGGCCTCCGATTGAGGATCCCTCGGCAACCGCGCTCACGGGGGCTGCGGAAGCCTTCCCAGCACGCGGAGTGCTAAGAAACGACGCATGCGACTCTGTCCGTGCAAGGCCTGGAAAGCTTTTGTTGCCCAGCCTCGGCTTTGCAGGTTTCTGCTGATCCGTTTCGCTGACGCGCGTCATGCCGACGGCACTGCAACTTCCCGTGACGAGTGGCAGCCCAGCAGGGGCGCTTGTGTGCCCTCAGAGGAGCAGCATTTCACATTTGGAGCGTTTCCAACAGCACACTCATCTCCCTGCTCTGCTGGCCATGTTGGCTGAGTTCACTGCAGCTCCGAGCTGCGGGAAGTCCTGGGTGGGAGAAACGAGCTCCGCACAAAGCATCGAACAGTTCACACACTTGGCTTCTCGCATCGACAGCCCAGTTGAACATTCCTGCAGGAGACGGGCAAAGGCTGCACTGACATGAGCTGCAGCGGAAGCACGCCAAGGCCGAGGGCCAGGCTGAAATTCGGGATGGGCGGGGGAACTGTCAACGTTGGCAGACTGATTTTTCTGGGTCCAAAAGAGCAGATGCCCGAGTCTTATAATGCTTGGGAATCCAAGAGACGTGCAAGTGGCTTGCCACACCGTTACCTGTTCAGACTGACCCAATGTACCTCGCAGTTCGGTCGTTTTCGCCTGCAGCGCTGTCTTGATCTCATCTGATGTCGTCAGGGACATCGGCGTGAACCTGATGTGCGTCCGAGCCTTCGTTTCGCTCGGCTACAGCGTTTCATTTCAAGGATCAGCACCTGGCCGCGATTTTTGCCTCGACATTCAGTGCCAGTGCCATGGCGTGGATCTGCTTTGCTTCCGCTGAGACTGAGGTTTCGAAGTTGTGTGGACATGCTTTCTATGCCACTGTGTGCCCTGTGATGTTCTGTGCAACTACGCGAACTACGAGACGTGGAGACTCAGAAAGCGCTCAGCTCATCGCAAAGTCGGACAATCCTTCGACTCGAAAGTCGTGCAAGCTGTCAGCGACGCATGCGAAGCCGCTGCTACTATGCTGCTCTTGCCCGTGAAATTCTTGCATGGCATGATTACGCGCTGACAGATTGCTGACGAATACTGAATTTCAAAGCCTGCAGTTTTTACAGGCCTTGGAGCCCTGCGCCAGGAGAAAAAGGCTGTCATGGAGAACTGGCCGCGACCGTACTGTTAAGGTACGTGCTTAAGTAGACATCGCTCAAGTCTGCATCCTTGACGCAGGTGGCTCCAAGTCTCAGGCACATTCAGGCACCTTTCACCTCACAGCGATTGAAGCGTTCGAGCATCCGGTGAATGCAAAAGCTACCAGCAACACGACGACAAGGTCACGCGCACTCCACGCGAACGAGGGTTTCGCACCCACTTCCAAACAGGCAACTAAGCGCAGAGCGCGCCACACCCATTTGTTGGGCCCCGCAGCTGCTCCGTGAAAGCTCCTGAGCATCGCTGATGCAGCAGGAGGAGCAGACGCGAACGACTCTCCTTCTGATTTCCACTGCTCCCGAACAAATGCTCGGCCATGTAAACTCTAAACCATAGATTCGAGGGCCGGGCTGGCGAGTCTCCCGCCAGTTGTTCTGGCGGGAGCCAGCATCATACCCGTACCTTGGCGCATGGCACCGGCACCGGAGCAGTTCGGCGATTCAAGTGATTACATGACCATGCCGCGCAACTTCCGCCACTAAGAGACCTGCCACGGGGATCTTTGCCAGCCTACTGCCAGGCTCTCACAGCACTGACCACATGCCAACGTGCATCCGACATCCAAACGCCGCCTTTCTGGTGCTTTTTCTTCGACCTGAAGATGTGCGGGCGAAGGCTCTCCACATGTCATGCGCTAGGAACGGCCGAGGCCGCTTCCCGGCTGGCTTCCAGCTGTTCTGGATGCCTCCGCCGGGCCCTGCAACAAGAACAATGAAACGAACCCCTGCGACATTCCGCGACAACACAATCATTGTCAATCCCAAGGTGGATTGATTGTAAATATGTCCGACTATGCTGAAATTTCCACGGAAGCACTCCGACGTGATGTGCGGGCCACACAATGCAAATCCAGAAGGTGCGCAGAAGCAATCGACGGCATCGGACGGCCTCCGACCGAAGATCGCTCGGCAACCGCGTTCAAAGGGTCTGCGGCAACCTTCACAGCAGGCGGAAGGCGGAGTGCGGAGAAGCGACGCATACAACTCTGTCCGTGCAGGCCTGGGGTGTTTTTTTTGCCCAGCCTCGGCTGTGAGCACGTTTCTGCTGATCCGTTTCGCTGACTCGCGTCATGCCGACGGCACCGCAACTTCCCGTGACGAGTGGCAGCCCAGCAGCGGCGCTTCTGTGCCCTCAGCGGAGCAGCATTTCACATTTGGAGCGCCTGCTCCTTTTTCCAACAGCACACTCATCTCCCTGCTCTGCTGGGCCAGGATGGCTGAGTTCACTGCAGCTCCCAGCTGCGGGAAGTCCTGGGTGGGAGCCAGATGAGCCAGCAAGCGAGATCCACACAAAGTCTCGAACAGTTCAGACACTTGGCTTCTCGCATCTGCAGCCCAGTTGAACATTCCTGCAGCAGACGGGCAAAGGCTGCACTGGCATGAGCTGCAGCGGAAGCACGCAAGGCCGAGGGCCAGGCTGGACCGCGCGACGGGCGGGGGGACTGTCAGCGTTGGCAAACTAGTCCTTCTGGGTCCAAAACCGCAGATGCCCGATTCCTACTGATTGGGACTCTCAGACACGTGCAAGTTGCTTGCCACGCAACTACCGGTCCCGCAAGAAACTACGACCACCCGTCAACTTTACTACACTGGTAAACAGACTCGCCTTCTCTATTCAGACTGCCAGCACACCGCCAGCAGACCGCCAGTTCGGTCGTTTATCGTCTGCAGCGCAGTCTTGATCCTATCTGAGGTCCTCAGGGCGGTGTGTAACCGATGTGAAACCGAACCTTCTCAATGCTCGGACAGAGCGTGACATTGCAATGGTCAGATGCACAGGAAAGCAACTTCCAGCACCTGGCAGCAATTCTGCCTCGACGTTCTGTGCCAGTGCCATGGCGTGGATCTGCTTTGCTTCCGCTGAGACTGAGGCTTCGAAGTTGTGTGGACATGCTTTCCATGCCACTGTGTGCCCCGTGATGTTCTGTGGAACTACCCGAACTACGAGACGTGGAGAATCGGAAAGCGCTCAGCTCATCGCAAAGTCGGGCAATCCTTCGACTGGAAAGTCATGCAAGCTGTCAGCGACGCATGCTTGCGAAGCCGCTGCTATTATACTGTTTTTGCCCGTGAAGTTCTGCAAAGCGTGATGACACGCTGACAACTTGCTGACGATTCACGAATTTCAAAGCCTGCAGTCTTTACAGGCCTTGGAGCGCTGCGCCAGGAGAAACAGCTGTCATGGAGAACTGGCCGCGACCGTACTGCTAAGGTACGTGCTTAAGTATAGACATCGCTCAAGTACGCATCCTTGACGCAGGTGGCTCCAAGTCTCAGGCACATTCAGGCACCTTTCACCTCACAGCGATTGAAGCGTTCGAGCATCCGGTCCATGCAAAAGCTACCAGCAACACGAGGACAAGGTCACGCGCACTCCACGCGAACGAGGGTTTCGCACCCACTTCCAAACAGGCAACTAAGCGCAGAGCGCGCCACACCCATTTGTTGGGCCCCGGCGTTGATCCGTGAAAGCTCCTGCGCATCGCTGATGCAGCAGGAGGGGCAGATGCGAACGACTTTCCTTGTGATTCGCACTGCTCCCGAACAAATGCTCGGCCAGTTTTCATAAATCTAAACCATAGACCCGAGGGCCGGGCTTGTGAGAGTCTCGCCAGTTGTTCTGGCGGGGGCCGGGCTCATTCCCATACCTTGGCGCATGGCACCGGCACCGGAGCAGTTCGGCGATTCAAGTGATTACATGACCATGCCGCGCAACTTCCGCCACTAAGAGACCTGCCACGGGGATCTGTGCCAGCCTACCGCCAGGCTCTCACAGCACTGACCACATGCCAACGTGCATCCGACATCCAAACGCCTTTCTGGTGTTTTTTCTTCGACCTGAAGATGTGCGGGCAAAGGCTCTCCACATTTCCAACTCGCCAGGAACGGCCGAGGCCGCTTCCCGGCTGGCTTCCAGCTGTTCTGGATGCCGCCACCGGGCCCTCCAACAAGAATAATGAAACCAACCCTGTGACATTCCGCGACAGCACAATCATTGCCAATCCCAAGGTGGATTGATTGTAAACAAGTCCGGCTATGCTGAAATTTCCACGGAAGCACTCCGACGTGATGTGCGGGCTACACAATGCAAATCCAGAAGGTGCGCAGAAGAAATCGACGGCATCGGACGGCCTCCGACCGAAGATCGCTCGGCAACCGCGTTCAAAGGGTCTGCGGCAACCTTCACAGCAGGCGGAAGGCGGAGTGCGGAGAAGCGACGCATACAACTCTGTCCGTGAAGGCCTGGGGTGTTTTTTTTGCCCAGCCTCGGCTGTGAGCACGTTTCTGCTGATCCGTTTCGCTGACTCGCGTCATGCCGACGGCACCGCAACTTCCCGTGACGAGTGGCAGCCCAGCAGCGGCGCTTCTGTGCCCTCAGAGGAGCAGCATTTCACATTTGGAGCGCCTGCTCCTTTTCCAACAGCACACTCATCTCCCTGCTCTGCTGGGCCATGATGGCTGAGTTCACTGCAGCTCCCAGCTGCGGGAAGTCCTGGGTGGGAGCCAGATGAGCCAGCAAGCGAGATCCACACAAAGTCTCGAACAGTTCAGACACTTGGCTTCTCGCATCTGCAGCCCAGTTGAACATTCCTGCAGCAGACGGGCAAAGGCTGCACTGGCATGAGCTGCAGCGGAAGCACGCAAGGCCGAGGGCCAGGCTGGACCGCGCGACGGGCGGGGGGACTGTCAACGTTGGCAAACTAGTCCTTCTGGGTCCAAAACCGCAGATGCCCGATTCCTACTGATTGGGACTCTCAGACACGTGCAAGTTGCTTGCCACGCAACTACCGGTCCCGCAAGAAACTACGACCACCCGTCAACTTTACTACACTGGTAAACAGACTCGCCTTCTCTATTCAGACTGCCAGCACACCGCCAGCAGACCGCCAGTTCGGTCGTTTATCGTCTGCAGCGCAGTCTTGATCCTATCTGAGGTCCTCAGGGCGGTGTGTAACCGATGTGAAACCGAACCTTCTCAATGCTCGGACAGAGCGTGACATTGCAATGGTCAGATGCACAGGAAAGCAACTTCCAGCACCTGGCAGCAATTCTGCCTCGACGTTCTGTGCCAGTGCCATGGCGTGGATCTGCTTTGCTTCCGCTGAGACTGAGGCTTCGAAGTTGTGTGGACATGCTTTCCATGCCACTGTGTGCCCCGTGATGTTCTGTGGAACTATACCCGAACTACGAGACGTGGAGACTCGGAAAGCGCTCGGCTCATCGCAAAGTCAGGCAATCCTTCGACTGGAAAGTCATGCAAGCTGTCAGCGACGCATGCTTGCGAAGCCGCTGCTATTATACTGTTTTTGCCCGTGAAGTTCTGCAAAGCGTGATGACACGCTGACAACTTGCTGACGATTCACGAATTTCAAAGCCTGCAGTTTTTACAGGCCTTGGAGCGCTGCGCCAGGAGAAACAGCTGTCATGGAGAACTGGCCGCGACCGTACTGCTAAGGTACGTGCTTAAGTATAGACATCGCTCAAGTACGCATCCTTGACGCAGGTGGCTCCAAGTCTCAGGCACATTCAGGCACCTTTCACCTCACAGCGATTGAAGCGTTCGAGCATCCGGTCCAAGCAGAAGCTACTAGCAACACGAGGACAAAGTCACGTGCACTCCACGCGAACGAGGGTTTCGCACCCACTTCGAAACAGGCAACTAAGCGCAGAGCGCGCCACACCCATTTGTTGGGCCCCGGCGTTGATCCTTGAAAGCTCCTGCACATCGCTGATGCAGCAGGAGGGGCAGATGCGAACGACTTTCCTTGTGATTCGCACTGCTCCCGAACAAATGCTCGGCCAGTTTTCATAAATCTAAACCATAGACCCGAGGGCCGGGCTTGTGAGAGTCTCGCCAGTTGTTCTGTCGGGAGCCGGGCTCATTCCCATACCTTGGCGCATGGCACCGGCACCGGAGCAGTTCGGCGATTCAAGTGATTACATGACCATGCCGCGCAACTTCCGCCACTAAGAGACCTGCCACGGGGATCTGTACCAGCCTACTGCCAGGCTCACACAGCACTGACCACATGGCAACGTGCATCCGACATCCAAACGCCGCCTTTCTGGTGTTTTTTCTTCGACCTGAAGATGTGCGGGCAAAGGCTCTCCACATTTCCAACACGCCAGGAACGGCCGAGGCCGCTTCCCGGCTGGCTTCCAGCTGTTCTGGATGCCTCCGCCGAGCCCTGCAACAAGAAGAATGAGACCAACCCTGTGACCTTCCGCGACAACACAACCATTCTCAATCCCAAGGTGGATTGATTGTAAACAAGTTCGGCTATGCTGAAATTTCCACGGAAGCATTCCGACGTGATGTGCGGGCTACACAATGCAAATCCTGAAGGTGCGCAGAAGCAATCGACGGCATCGCACGGCCTTCGATTGAAGATCCCTCGGCAACCGCGCTCACGGGGGCTGCGGAAGCCTTCACAGCATGCGGATTGCTAAGAAGCGACGCATGCAACTCGGTCCGTGCAAGGCCTGGGGTGTTGTTTTCGCCCAGCCTCGGCTGTGAGCACGTTTCTGCTGTTCCGTTTCCCTGACACGCGTCGTGCGGACGGCACTGCGACTTCCCGTGACGAGTGGCAGCCCAGCAGGGGCGCTTCTGTGCCCTCAGAAGAGCAGCATTTCACATTTGGAGCGCCTGCTGCTTTTCCAACAGCACACTCATCTCCCTGCTCTGCTTGGCCATGATGGCTGAGTTCACTGCAGCTCCCAGCTGTGGGAAGTCCTGGGTGGGAGCCAGCAGGCGAGATCCGCACAAAGGCTCGAACAGTTCACACTTGGCTTCTCGCATCGACAGCCCAAGTAAACATTCCTGCAGGAGACGGGCACAGGCTGCACTGGCATGAGCAGCAGCGGAAGCACGCAAGGCCGAGGGCCAGGCTGGACCGCGGCAGGGGAATGTCAAAGTTGGCAGACTAATTTTTTCTGGGTCCAAAAGAGCAGATGCCCGATTCCTAATGCTTGGGAATCCAAGAGACGTGCAAGTTGCTTGCGACACCATTACCGGCTACAACTACGCCTTCGACTTTACTACACTTGCAAACGACTCTCATTCTCTGTTCAGGCTGCCAGTGTACTACCTCGCTGCTCGGTCGTTTTCGTCTGCAGCGCTGTCTTGATCATCTGAGGTCGTGAGGGACATGGGCGTGCAACTGCTTCGCGTCCGAGCCTTCTTTTCGCTCGGCTATAGCGTTTCATTGCAAGGATCAGCACCTGGCCGCGATGTTTGCCTCGACATTCTGTGCGAGTGCCATGGCGTGGATCTGCTTTGCTTCAGCTGAGACTGAGGCTTCGAAGTTGTGTGGACATGCTTTCCATGCCACTGTGTGCCCCGTGATGTTCTGTGGAACTATACCCGAACTACGAGACGTGGAGACTCGGAAAGCGCTCGGCTCATCGCAAAGTCAGGCAATCCTTCGACTGGAAAGTCGTGCAAGCTGTCAGCGACGCATGCTTGCGAACCAGCTGCTATTGCACTGCTCTTGCCCGTGAAATTCTTGCAAGGCATGATTACGCGCTGACAGCTTGCTGACGAATCCTGAATTTCAAAGCCTGCAGTCTTTACAGGCCTTGGAGCCCTGCGCCAGGAGGAAAAGGCTGTCATGGAGAACTGGCCGCGACCGTACTGCTAAGGTACGTGCTTAAGTAGACATCGCTCAAGTACGCATCCTTGACGCAGGTGGCTCCAAGTCTCAGGCACATTCAGGCACCTTTCACCTCACAGCGACTGAAGCGTTCGAGCATCCGGTCCAAGCAGAAGCTACTAGCAACACGAGGACAAAGTCACGTGCACTCCACGCGAACGAGGGTTTCGCACCCCCTTCGAAACAGGCAACTAAGCGCAGAGCGCGCCACACCCATTTGTTGGGCCCCGGCGTTGATCCGTGAAAGCTCCTGCGCAGCGCTGATGCAGCAGGAGGGGCAGATGCCAACGACTTTCCTTGTGATTCGCACTGCTCCGGAACAAATGCTCGGCCAGTTTTCATAAATCTAAACCATAGACCCGAGGGCCGGGCTTGTGAGAGTCTCGCCAGTTGTTCTGGCGGGAGCCGGGCTCATTCCCATACCTTACGCATGGCACCGGCACCGGAGCAGTTCGGCGATTCAAGTGATTACATGACCCTGCCGCGCAACTTCCGCCACTAAGAGACCTGCCACGGGGATCTTTGCCAACCTACAGCCAGGCTCTCACAGCACTGACCACATGCCAACGTGCATCCGACATCCAAACGCCGCCTTCCTGGTGTTTTTTCTTCGACCTGAAGATGTGCGGGCAAAGGCTCTCCACATTTCCAACACGCCAGGAACGGCCGAGGCCGCTTCCCGGCTGGCTTCCAGCTGTTCTGGATGCCTCCGCCGAGCCCTGCAACAAGAAGAATGAGACCAACCCTGTGACCTTCCGCGACAACACAACCATTCTCAATCCAACGTGGATGGATTGTAAACAAGTCCGGCTATGCTGAAATTTCCACGGAAGCATTCCGACGTGATGTGCGGGCTACAAAATGCAAATCCTGAAGGTGCGCAGAAGCAATCGACGGCATCGCACGGCCTTCCGATTGAAGATCCCTCGGCAACCGCGCTCACGGGGGCTGCGGAAACCTTCACAGCACGCGGATTGCTAAGAAGCGACGCATGCAACTCTGTCCGTGCAAGGCCTGGAGAGCTGTTTTTGCCCAGCTTCGGCTTTGCAGGCTTCTGCTGATCCGTTTCGCTGACGCGCGTCATGCCGACGGCACTGCAACTTCCCGTGACGAGTGGCAGCCCAGAAGGGGCGCTTGTGTGCCCTCAGAGGAGCAGCATTTCACATTTAAGAGCGCCTGTTGTGTTCCTGCAGCACACTCATCTCCTTGCTCTGCTGGCCATGCCGGCTGAGTTCACTGCAGCTCCGAGCTGCGGGAAGTCCTGGGCGGGAGCCAGCAAGCGAGATTCGCACATAGGCTCGAACAGTTCAGACACTTGGCTTCTCGCATCGACGGACCAGCTCAACATTCCTGCAGCAGACGGGCAAAGGCTGCACTGGCATGAGCTGCAACGGAAGCACGGAAGGCCGAGGGCCAGGCTGGACCGCGGGAGGGGCGGGGGGACTGTCAACGTTGGCAAACTAGTCTTTCTGGATCCAAAAGAGCAGATGCCCGAGTCAACATTACCGGAATTACCGGCTACGACTACGCCTTCGACTTTACTACACTTGCAAACGACTCTCATTCTCTGTTCAGACATGTTCAGACTGCCCGTGTACCTCGCAGTTCGGTCGTTTCTCGTCTGCAGCACAGTCTTGATCCTATCTGAGGTCCTCAAGAACATCGGGTGCAACCGATGTGCAACCGAGCCTTCTTATTGCTCGGCTGCAGAGCTTTATTGCAAAGCAATTTCCAGCACCTGGCCGCGATGTTTGCCTCGACATTCTGTGCGAGTGCCATGGCGTGGATCTGCTTTGCTTCAGCTGAGACTGAGGCTTCGAAGTTGTGTGGACATGCTTGAAGGATTGCCTGACTTTGCGATGAGCCGAGCGCTTTCCGAGTCTCCACGTCTCGTAGTTCGGGTATAGTACCCGAACTACGAGACGTAGAGACTCGGAAAGCGCTCGGCTCATCGCAAAGTCAGGCAATCCTTCGACTGGAAAGTCGTGCAAGCTGTCAGCGACGCATGCTTGCGAACCAGCTTCTATTACACTGCTCGCCCGTGAAATTCTTGCAAGGCATGATTATGCGCTGACAGCTTGCTGACGAATCCTGAATTTCAAAGCCTGCAGTTTTTACAGGCCTTGGAGCCCTGCGCCAGGAGAAACAGGCTGTCACGGAGAACTGGCCGCGACCGTGCTGCTAAGGTACGTGCTTAAGTAGACATCGCTCAAGTCTGCATCCTTGACGCAGGTGGCTCCAAGTCTCAGGCACATTCAGGCCCCTTTCACCTCACAGCGATTGAAGCATTGGAGCATCCAGTCCAAGCGGAAGCTACTAGCAACACGAGGACAAGGTCATGCGCACTCCACGCGAACGAGGGTTTCGCACCCACTTCGAAACAGGCAACTAAGCGCAGAGCTCGCCACACCCACTTGTTGGGCCCCGCAGCTGCTCCGTGAAAGCTCCTGAGCATCGCTGATGCAGCAGGAGGGCAGACGCTAGCGACTTTCCTTCTGATTTCGCACTGCTCCGGAACAAATGCTCGGCCAGTTATCAGAAATCTAAACCATAGACCCGAGGGCCGGGCTTGTGAGAGTCTCGCCACTTGTTCTGGCGGGAGCCGGGCTCATGCCCGTACCTTGGCGCATGGCACCGGCACCGGAGCAGTTCGGCGATTCAAGTGATTACATGACCATGCCGCGCAACTTCCGCCACTAAGAGACCTGCCACGGGGATCTGTACCAGCCTACTGCCAGGCTCACACAGCATTGACCACATGCCAACGTGCATCCGACATCCAACGCGGCCTTTCTCGTGTTTTTTCTTCGACCTGAAGATGTGCAGGCAAAGGCTCTCCACATTTCCAACATGCCAGGAACGGCCGAGGCCGCTTCCCGGCTGGCTTCCAGGTGTTCTGGATGCCGCCACCGGGCCCTGCAACAAGAACAATGAAACGAACCCTGTGACATTCCGCGACAACACAATCATTGTCAATCCCAAGGTGGATAGATTGTAAACAAGTCCGGCTATGCTGAAATTTCCACGGAAGCATTCCGACGTGATGTGCGGGCTACACAGGGCAAATCCTGAAGGTGCGCAGAAGCAATCGACGGCATCGGACGGCCTCCGACCGAAGATCGCTCGGCAACCGCGTTCAAAGGGTCTGCGGCAACCTTCACTTGCAGGCGGCAGGCGGAGTGCTGAGAAGCGACGCATACAACTCTGTCCGTGCAGGCCTGGGGTGCTTTTTTTGCCCAGCCTCGGCTGTGCAGGTTTCTGCTGATCCGTTTCGCTGACTCGCGTCATGCCGACGGCACCGCAACTTCCCGTGACGAGTGGCAGCCCAGCAGCGGTGCTTCTGTGCCCTCAGAGGAGCAGCATTTCACATTTGGAGCGCCTGCTCCTTTTCCAACAGCACACTCATCTCCCTGCTCTGCTGGGCCATGATGGCTGAGTTCACTGCAGCTCCCAGCTGTGGGAAGTCCTGGGTGGGAGCCAGCGCAAGCGAGATCCGCACAAAGGCTCGAACAGTTCAGACACTTGGCTTCTCGCATCCACAGACCAGGTGAACATTCCTGCAGGACACGTGCAAAGGCTGCACTGGCATGAGCAGCAGCGGAAGCACGCAAGGCCGAGGGCCAGGCTGGACCGCGGCAGGGGAATGTCAAAGTTGGCAGACTAATTTTTTCTGGGTCCAAAAGAGCAGATGCCCGATTCCTAATGCCTGGGAATCCAAGAGACGTGCAAGTGGCTTGCCACACCATTACCTTTTCAGACTGCCAGTGTACCTCGCAGTTCGGTCGTTTTCGTCTGCAGCGCTGATTTGATCTCATCTGAGGTCGTCAGGGACATCGGTGCATCTGTTTCGCGTCCGAGCCTTCGTTTCGCTCGGCTATAGCGTTTCATTGCAATGATCAGATGCAAAGGGAGGCAAGTTCCAGCACCTGGCCGCGATTTTTTCCTCGACATTCAGTGCCATTGCCATGGCCTGGATCTGCTTTGCTTCCGCTGAGACTGAGGCTTCGAAGTTGTGTGGGCATGCTTTCTATGCCACTGTGTGCCCTGTGATGTTCTGTGCAACTACGCGAACTAGGAGACG